GCAATTGAGCAGAGAATAACATACAGCGGAATGGCTTCGTAGTTTATGGAGGCCTGCTCCGCATAGTTCACGCGGGAGAACCACTCCATTATGTCTCTCCGCCCAAACGTCCCGTCCAGCGCTTCAACATGGATTTCTCCATATGTTTTGTGGGACGGGTTGCAGTGCCCGGCCATTCCCTCAAGCAGGGTGCTCTTCCCGTCTCCGCTCAGCCCAATCATCGCCACCATCTTTCCTTTCGGGATGGACAGCGACACGCCCTTCAGAATGGAAACCCCCTTTTTGGTTTCTAGCCCGTAGTTTTTCATTTCCAGAATAAGCCCGGAGGAGTTTTTGGCCTTTTCTGCGCCCCCCTCTCTGCTATCTTCGGGTTGGGCGGTTGCATATATGCTAGACCCGCTGCTGGCATGGCCCTCTAGAGGCATGCTTTCTTTTTCTGGTGTCCCAAAATCTTGCTTCATGACTTTCTAATCGGCTATCTCTATTTATACTTTAATTCTGATCCTGATCGGCTTTAAAAAAACAATATGCTTCAAAGAATTAAATTACAAAATATAACCCAGAATTGGATCGGGATGCTAATTTAGACAGCCGCTGCATGTGTATTTGGGCACCATCCTTTTAAATTTGGGCTGCGTTATGCGCGAGGCCTGCACACAAGCCGCAGCACCCGCCTCTGGCCAAGGCCTGCGCGTTTTTTAGCACAGACCGCATTTCTCCAGATGCCAAATAGCCACTTTTTGTTTTTCAAGCAAAAACATAGCCCCTGGGTTTTTAGTCTCCTGGATTCTCCTGAGATTGTGTGGGGTGCTTGAATCTTGCTGCTGGCTTTCAATGTGCTGCAAATTTATTTTTGTGTTTTCTCGCACATCTGCAGTAATGCTCCAGCTTGTAGTTGTTTTGCTAGTCCTCTACATATGCCACCTATTAAGCAAGCACGGAGACGAGGCAGAGCGAAGGAGAGAACTGGAGAAAAAGCTTCACGAAGCGACCGAGAATCTGAAAAGGTGCAAGGAGTATGAGAGAAGCTACCACAATCTGAAAGCCTCATACTTGGACTTGCTGGACCGGGCGGTGGGGAAAAAGAAAAAGGGGGAGTAAACGCGTGCTTTGGGCAGGAAAAAATTTCTTTTCTGACCGGAGAGGGCCCATACCCCGCATTGGCTTGTCATACGGAGCATGTTGTCGGCGGAAAGTGCGCACAAATCTTGCCCCAGCCCCGCGCGTATTTACCCCGATCGCGTTTGGCGCTGCTGGGGCATTATGCTCAAGCATCAGCCCCCTGCGTGCTTCTTGTAGCTATGCACACAAAGCTGCTTGAATGCTCGAATATGCATGTGTAACAAAAGTTTCAAAAGCGCCTTTGCATGCTGGAAACAGCTGTGTGCGTAGGAAATTATTCAATAAATCGAACTAGTTCTAATAAAAGTTTCAGCGCATTTTACAGAGATAAAAAGCACTGGCAGTGTAGGCCTAGAAAACAAAGCGCCCATGCAGTGCAAAGGAGGCCCGCAAGAGTGCATGTCTGCCTTTTCATTTATCTTTATCTTTGAGAGTATGCTTGGGCGAGCGCTGGTGGCAGGCCGTGCGGTTGGGATATCACTGGGTACGTTGTATATACTGCTTCGGGCTATTATGCCGTTCCCTTTGTTGTGCCAAAAGCCGTAGATGAAAGTTGCTGTAGCGCGAAATGCCCCAAACGGGGCCTCAAAATAGCTCGAATGAAAACGTGGCGCTATTCGGGGTTATTCGGATATTCTTTGCTTGTGCACACCCGAGTTGCAAAAATTCTCGAAAAATTGCACTTTCAGACAAAAAAGAGACGGGCAAGCCAAACCATCAGAATCACGGGATCACATTTGATCTCGAACTCAGCGCACCAAACTACGCGCGCTTGCATTGACAGCCAAATTTTCAATGCATGGGCTGCAATCTAGCACGGGCGCGCGTTTCGGGCACAATAACAATTATAGCAATTGGGCTATCATTCGACAGAAGCCTTTAAAGCAGCCTCCTTCCTTATGCATTTACGAAAATGTAAAAAAGTCCAAGCATGGCGCTGTTCTTTGGAGCTGGCTATATTTGGATGCTGCTTGCAGCCCGAAACGTTGCAGTGTGCATGAAGATGGCGCAGAAAAGCGCTCTAGCCAACTTGGAAACAGCGGCTGGCAGAGATGATGTGATTGTGAACCCACAATGGGTCGGGCATCCGATGCACATATTTCATCTTAACGCGCTGGAGTATGTGCAAAACATGCGCACATATTCGTCGGAGCTGGATACCAAATTTAGCTTAGTGCTGGATGGCAGTCAAGCAGAGCGCGCCGAAAAAGAAACGTACACATACACTCGAGAGCCGCTGAAAGACACGCCACACCTTCCAAGCAGCATCCACAGGTCTATGGAGACTTTGCGCACTGGAGAATATGGTCTAAAATATCACAGGGCGCTGCTGCATATGTTTCCGTCCTTGAAGAACAAGTGGCTGATTATTCGAGTGAAGCAGCCGCGCTCTTTCACCCGATTTCTCCAGAAGAGCTGCAAAGCCACAGAAGAGGCGCACTACGTGCTGGCTGCGCTGGTCCTGCTAAGCGAGGGCGTTGACGTGCCAATTAAGACAGCTGGGAAAAGAGTGATTCTAAAAAAAAGAAGAGACAGCAATGACGTGCTGGTGGACGCGCGTCTAAAGACAGAGGGCGAGGGCAGCGAAAGGCAGCTTTCCGAGACGTGGCAGGCGGTAAACTTCTTCAAGCGGTACAGAGGCACACAAAATGCTACCAAGCACGTACGAAGAGTTTAAAATGGGCGACTTTCTGGAGAGCCCGCAGCTTCTGATTCTCACGTACGTAGGCGAGTACGTGAAAAACGCGGAAGAGCTCATGTCTGTGCTGGAGTGTGCGTTCAAGCTTGTGGAGGGCATGGGACTGGCCGAGAGCGTGGGAGACGCGAACAGTATGGTCGGGCGGATGTTTATGTCTGCCAGCCGTCTGTCAGAGGCCAGAGCGTTTCCGAGCCCGTTTTTTGACGCGCAGGCAGAAGCAGAAAATTCAGAGTGCTTGAAAACCCCAGCAGAGCTGTATGAGAGACTGTGCAAAGCATCTGCGCAGTACAGGCAGCAGGCCTGCGCTTCGGGGCTTTTTCTTGCCGAGTGCATAGACCGGATGGCCATGAAAATCACGGATCAAAGGGTTGATGTGGAAAGCATCCCATACGTGCGAGCGGCTGCAAAAGAAATAGTGGATTACAGCCCGAACAAGCCGAACCGCTTGTTTCTGAAGCTGCCTACTTTCGACATAGACAGCAAGCGAATTCTTGTTTACTGTTTTCTCCTATACGCACGCGAAAGATTTGGCGTGCTGTCTGCAGCCCAGCATGTAACAATTTTCAAATTGCGAATGCTTGCAAAATACGCAGGCTTGTTTTCTCCCAGAAAATCAAACATGCTCACAGGACAGCTGAGCATAGACCACTTCCGGATGTATGCAGAGAAAACAGCAGAGCCTCTCTTCGAGTGCAAGCTGCTACGCACCTATATGGATTTGCTTTTAAGGTCCCATTTTCTGTTTATAGAAAGCCCCTTGGAAACTCTGCAGGAAATTGTCAGACTTGTTCTGGCAGAGCATGCGGGCCAAGTCCCAGAAAAGGCTTTGGCGCTGGTGCGGAAGCTCACTCTTAGCTGGTTCATCTATATGCTGACCATGGGCCAGACCATGGGCCACGCGGCTGTTATCCAAATTTACCATATTGTTGAGCCAGCCCACTTCGAGAGACATTGAAGAACTTCGCAAGTTTTGGGTTGCAGCGTAGTTGACCAAAAAAGTTGAGCTTATGCAGGGCATGGAGGCTGTTCTTGTGGCGAATGGCGGAAGAAAAAAGTTTGAGGTGCTGCTGGAGGCATTGCAGACCATAGAAAGAAACATAACCGGATGATCCAGGGCACTTCTATGCATACGCTGGCACGCAGCC